CTGACTGAATCGAAGAACCAGTATCATGAACTTTCCTGTCAACAAGCCAGAAGATCTTCACCAAGCAGATCACCGCATGGAGGACCTCTATACGAGATGTACATGCAAGCCGTGCGTGAACGTGACAGCTTGAAAGAATCCAAGGCCGAAGTTGACAAGTTGTACTTGCAGAATAGATCTGAACTCATTGACACTGAGGACCTGCTCAAAGTCTTCCAGCGAAACTTTGATGAAACTGGTAAGAAATATCAAGATGCTCTGAACAAGATCAATCACATGAGCAACAATCCGAATGTGACGAGTACCTTGTTTGACAGTTTGCACAATGAACTCAATGACAGGGACACAGCTATTGCTCGCCTTCATACTGAACTTGAAGCCCAAAAGGACTCTCTTGAGCGTGCTCACAGGGATGCAGGTAAGTCCATCAAGATGTTGAACGACAGAAGACTCGTGATCAAAGGTGCGACTGACTATTCCATTCCTGAAAGCCATTTGACCGAGATGCATCAATTGGCCAATGAGCGTTACGCTGAGGTAGAAGAAATGTCGAGCACCATTGCTGCCCTGAAGTTGGAAAACCAAGCTCATTCTTCTTCATCAATGAATAGACCGACTACATTACATGGGTACCCCAGTAATGCCATACCTCGGAATGAATGTGAAGAGAAGTGTGCCAAACTGAAAGCAGAGTTGGACGAGATGAAGCAAGAGAGGAACGCTGAAGTTCGAAATCTTCAAGATGAGTTGAAGAAGATGGAAGATCGTAAAGATTACTATAAGAACAATTTCTCTCAAGCTGAAGATCGTGCCAATGATGAAGAGCAGGAATACCGAGCAGAAGCTGAAGCCTTCGAGAAGCTCAGGAACGAGTACAACACAAATGTCAAGGAGTTGGAGAACCTTGAAAGGGATAGATCCAAGTCATCTGTATCTCTAAGAGAAGTCGAAAAGATCAGCCTCCAACCCTGGCCTAAGACCACTGAACTTTCATCTTGGAAGGGAAGTGTCGTTCATGAAGTTTGCGTTGCAAGTGGAGATCGAAACTATGAAGATTGGAAGGCTTGGCTAGCTCCGTGTCTTGCAGATCAACCTGACTTGGAGGCGCTGGCCAAAGCTCCTGATGTGAGATTCCAATCCATTGATGCCAAGCTCTCCAATGCCTTGAGGAAAGTCATTGACAATGCTGGGGACAAGTCCATGCAAGTGAAGTATGACATGTCCATGAAGAACCAATTGTATGGGAGAAGTGGGGACTTCATCAAGGGACGAGAACTATTCGCAATGATATTGATTAGCTTCA